AAATGGACACTTTTATTAATTCGCCATCAGTAATATATAGATTAGCTGATGGTAGGGTGGTTGTGTTGTTGGACTGGTATCAAAAGATTTTCAATGATATATGGATAGCAAGAGACCAACAAATTCTTGTAAACAAAAAGAAAAGGACCAACATAAGATATTAATAAGGTATAGAGTACTAGAAAAAACTTTAGGTAAGAAAGCAAGATAGCTCTTCGTATGGGAAATGGAAGGGGTCGTTGTGGTAGCACTTCACACTCTAGTTACCCGGTTGTGATTTCTACTCTCACGGACACCACTTCACTAACATTTTAAAAAAATTAACTCCTATACTATTTGAAAAAATGGGTAAGGACCTGTCATCCTCACTCAATTACCCCAAAAAAAAAAGATAAAAAAAATAACAAACAAGATAGCAAATACTTATGTAGTCGCAACCAGCGAAAACGAATCGGTTAGGCAAACCAATTTCCAAGAAATTGGTTTGGATTGGTGAATCGACCATTCAATCAATTATCTAAGAACTTACTCTCCCCGTTCCCTAAAAGAACCATGCGAGTAGGCCAGGCCCGGACCGATTACCAAATTCTAACCGGAACCAGTTTATCTAGTACTGACTCAACAGATTTTTAGTTGCAACAAAAGAGGGAAGCAAGTAAAGTTTTTGATGGGTCACCTCCCATAACCATCTTTAAGTACAATAATAGTTTCTTAATGACGACTTTTTGAACATTACGATACTTCCTTTCAATTTTTTTTTTTAATGTCACATCTTTCAAAATATTTAAACACAGGTAGTTTATAAAAGAAAAAAGAGTTAGATAACACCATAAGTTGTAGAATTAAGGTGCATAAAAAATTCATTGGAAACTGCTATTTTGACTTAGAAAACCATCTAACTGATCACTTTGACATCAAAATGTATGGATAGAATAAAAAATAAAAATAAAATTTTAAATACAAAAAATAGTAAATCTTGCAACACTTTATTTGGAACGGCCATTTTCAAGATTTTTATACGTTTATAGATCTATTGATTTGAACTATTTTTGAAATTCAAAATTTTATAATTAGGGATGAAAATAGATTCTTGGGCCCTTCTAAAAGTTTTCTGACAAGAAAATTGCATCTTATGAGAATGTTTGGAGGTATGCCTTACTTTGATAGCTTAAGGTTGCAACCATATACCATGGAAGTAAGGTGCACGTAAAAAAGTCCAACAAAACATATTGTCTTAACTTTCTATTTTCAAATTTCAAGTGCTTATAGATTTACTTGATCTATACTAAATTTAAGTAGTGACCTAAATGAAATATGAAAATATGGTATGTTACGTATATATTAAAAAATTACTAATAAGGTTGGTCAACATGACCATTTTTTCTTCCAAAATTGTATTGATCCGAGGATTCCATCTTCCTATTGAACTTTAATTTTTTTGGTTTTTTATTTTTTTAGCAAGGTGCTACCCTAAGTTTTAGGGGCACTGCCCAAGCGGTGTGGGGTCAAATCCTCAGAGTGATCTTCTCATTTAACTAGAAAAAAAAATGCTGCTCATTTAGTTAGAAAAAAAAAAGCGGTCCAAAAATTCGGAGCTCGGACTGATCTTCTCATTTAGTTATGGAAAAAAACTGTGGTCCAATAATTGTTATTGTTTGAAAAAAAGTCGATCTGAGAAATTGAACCTCGGACCGCACTCTGATCGCATTTGATCACATTTAAACGGCAAAACCCTATTTTATTTTTGTTTTCTCTCTCTCTCTCAAGTTCTCAACCCTATTTTGATACAGTATATATTTATTCGTCGACCACTTTCTCGCTCTAAAACGAAACTAAAATCAGGCAAAAGTTTATATAGAGCCGAGGCTCTAAAAAATTAAATTTGAGCCTACTTAAAAAATTTAACTAGAAGAGGTTGTTTTTATGGTCAAATATCCTCAAATTGATCATCTCGCTATCAAGATGCATGAACATCAGAAAAAAATGGATTTCAAAATTTGAAAATAGTGTATTTTGTAACGGATTTTTGGACCGTCAATTTTAAAAATTTTCAAGTTTTCATGGATCTGTCTATATATGCTATTTTTGAAGCTTTAAATTTTATAAATAAAAATGAAAACATATTTTAAAGACATCATAAAAAAATTTAGTATTGAAACCACATTTCTCGACATTATTTGAAGGTAAGCTCTAATTTTGATTGTTTAGAGCCAAGGTTTTATACAAACCGCACCCAATACAAAACCATGCTTTCCTCCGCCAAACGAATTTAAATAAAGAAATGAGTTATATCGGATTACAGCCAAAGCTTAAGGCTCTCCACCTAATTGCATACAAAATCAAGTCGTGGCCATTTTTGATAATCTTAGTGAATAGGGCTCAGGAAATGAAAATGCTTCCCCCGTGATTTCCCTCAAAATGGTGAAATCCATTTTATGCCTGGAGGACTGCGAAATATATTACGGGGCTTGACGGGTAAAATTTCTCTCTCTTATTCATGATTTTTGGGTATTTGCTGTTGCACATTTTGTGATTGTATTTAGGGTTTTTTGGTACGATTTTCATTACAATAAGCTTTCATGTTTTCATATTTTTTGGTGGTCTTTTGATGCTCTGCTAATTCATGGTTAAAGCTTATATATCAAGGCAATAGATGGTTTAAAGGAGGTTGGGGCGATATGGCTGGAGAGTGATGGTTTGCTATGCCATTAAATTTAACTTTTTGAATAATAATAAAAAAAAAGTGTTTCAAAATAATTTTTATAATTTTTATTTTTAAACTTTTATTACTAATTTATTTATGTAGGATGTCCACCCTTTTTTGTTTCATTTGGTAGTTTTACCACCTCTTACGTGGCTTTTAAACCCTAAACCCCCCTTCTCTTGTTTTATAGGTCCGGTTTGTATACTTCTAAACAATCAAATTAGAGCCTACTTTCAAATAGTATAAAAAAATGTAGTTTCAATACTGAAAACATTTGTGATAGCTTTAAAATATATTTTTATTTTTATTTATAAAGTTTAAAGTTCCAAAAATAGTGTAGATCAATAGATCTATGAATAACTTGAAAAATCTTGAAAATTGGTGATCCAAAAATGTTTTATAAAATACATTATTTCTAAAACTTGAAATCCATTTTTTTTTTTTCTCCATACATCTTGATGTTGAGATGATCAATTTAAAAATATTTTAACATCAAAACAACCACTTCTAATGAAATTTTTGAGATAGGCTTGATTGTTTAGAGCCACGGCTCAATATAAATTTTTCCCTGTTTTATTGACTTCTCCTCGTGAGGTGTTTCAGTTTGCTCTGTCGTTTTAAAACGTACACTCTCATTCTCTCTCTTAAGAAGGAGCTTCTTGTTGATAATACGAGCGCTCTCTCATCGATAACAGGAGAGTAGGTTTACTCTCCCTCCCCCTCTAAGTTAGCTGGCTCTCTCACTAAATTTTTTTGACAGAAGCGATGAACATTTTTTTTTTTCAGAGCTGGATAACTATTTCATGGCATTATGAAGTAAACGACAAATTTTGTTTAATGTATGGTTCTCGCTCTCTGATGCATGACTTTCCTGTCATCTACTGAGTTTTTAAACATAATATATTTTTTATACAAAATTATTTCCATCTGATATGCACTTAATCAAAATTTGTATTTTACTAATTTTTAGTGGGAGAAGTTGTTCCCCATCAATATTTTATTATAGTATATAGATTAGATGATATTTTTTGTGGTGAGAGATATTTGCCATCCTAATTGATGTTTTTATTGTACCGATTGGATGATGATTTTTATAGAACGAGATTAGTCTGTTTCCAATTGATATTTGTGGAACCGTACCAATTGGAAAGACATATCAGTATTACGGATCTCATGAGTGTGCAACTCAGGAACTCATGATTTGTATTCCGATCTGGCTGTATCTTGAGACTCGTTTGTACCTTAAATTTTACCGAGACAAGGGCATTTAACCTGTCGAAGAAAGTGAGTTCCTCTCGTACCTCAAAATCTTTTATTTTTGAACTCCCATTTTTTAGAGTTCATGATCACTGTGATATTTTGTAAATTGCGGTGGAACCCCAAACAACCAACATTACATAGTTTTCTTCTCCCCAAATTTTTTTTTTTCTGCCCAAATTTTCTTTTTTTTTGGGTAAGTTTCTCCCCAAATTTTTTATAGAGAGACACGCAATGGGAAGAGAGAGGGTGTGAGAGTTTTTTTAATTAAAATATTTATATCACGAGATTGAGATTTTTTAATTAAAATATTTATATCATGACATAAATATTTTACCTATAGTTTCATATGACATTTTATCCCAAAAAAATTAAAATATAAAGATCTCTACACAAAAACATCACATTACTCTTAAGTAAAATTCACGCAAAATTTTCAGCAAAATGAGCTTACTGCATTTCCAGATTTTTCCAGACATAGCCAAACAGTAGAAATGCATTTTTCAAGTCTCATGTAGATGCTATCCAAATAACAAAAACTCATTTTCAGATAATGTATTTCACTAGTAATGTATTGCACCAATAACGTATTTCATAAACAATATATTTCAGGGTATCCAAACAGCCACTAAGTTGATTTGTGAATTGGTGTTGGTCCGAGAATGACATCTTCGGACCGATTTGAACATGAACTTTATTCAGTCTAGGGGGCGGTCCGATATTTTCATCCTTGGACTAGTATTTTTTTAAAAAAAACAGCAAGGTCCAAAGATTCTAACCTCACACTGCCTAGGGCATGGCCTCTAAAACGCTCCTAATAAACAAATAACAGAAAAATAATATAAAAAACCGCGGGTTGGCCGACTTTCTTGATAATTTTCGAATACAAGGGAAGCAAACTGTATTTTAATATTTATTTTAGGGGGCGTACCTAAATTGCTCCGTAAACTTTTATAATTAGGATGAAATTAAATTCTGAAGGTATGGGAGGGCTTGTTACTTCATCTGTCCTAACTCCCAAGGTTTCGAGGCACGCCCTAATTTTATTGGTTAAAATTGACACCTGATAAAAACCACATCCATTAAAATAGATGACCACTATCATATTTTAAAAGTTCATCATTTATATTCAAGAATATCATTTATAGAGGAATTTGACAAAGAATGGTGTACACGTTGAATTAAATCGGTGCAGTTCTTTCTCAAGTTCTCAATTAATGATATCTAAAATAGTCCTAAATAAGTGCGCTTTTTTTTAGATCTCTGCTTTCGAGTCTGTCTTTCAGTTTTTCCAAGTCCAAACTTTTCTGATACCATTCCATCTCAATCGGCACCGCAACGCCATTAAAATTCGAGCTTTGGACGCATCATAGAAACCGTAAAATAAAACCCAATACTCCACAAAGCGAAAAGCTTTCGTCTTTCGCTCATTCATTCACCTACTTTTTTGGCTTTTTTTTTTGTTTAGCTAGAGTTGGGTTCGCCATGGCTGCGGCTTCTTCTGAAACCACTTCTCCTGCGACGAAACACAGTTTGTGGAAATGGGTTTTTTGTGTTGCAGGGATCATGAGCACTCTGGTCATCTATGGCGTCTTACAGGTGAGTCTTTTCTCCTTATAGTGATCAAAGAATCATGACGCTTTAGTACCTGGAATAGGACGTTGGGTTTTGCTCCTTTGGGGATTTCAGTTGTGGGATTTTGATTTATGGATTGGTTTAGATTTTAGAAAGGGAATTTTTTTTTGAGAAGGAAAAATTGAGAGAAACCCCGGATAAATGAAAAAAGAGTTCTCGGGTTTTTCTCTAATGGGTCTTATGTTCATGGGCTTATGAATCTTGATATGTGGGATAATTTAGAAAGAGAATTTGCAATGAAACTTTACCTAGAAACAATTGTTGGGTTGCTCATTGCCTCCTTCTGGTCTTGGCTTATTTCTATAATTTTTTCTGTGATGAAACTTACTTTTGGAGGGGAAAGTCGGGAACTTGCTTTAGTTTAAAAATTGTTTTTTTCTTATTCCTTTTGCTAATTGATGATTTGTCTTTGTCGTTATATCTTTTGATCCGGTAAATTTTTGTCATGTTGACTGTATTGTAGGACTCCATGGTGAATGTCTTATATGCATCTTTCTGAATTTCTTGTGTGTTGTCTGGTCTTTTTCATCTTTATTTTTCTGATTGGATCATTCGTTCAATGTTAAGAATTCTCAATTTTTTCTTTTTGGAGCCTAAGCATGTGGTGAATTATCTGAAAATTTTGAACTTGTGATAGCTGTCTATTCCAATACCCGTTGCTGAGAGTCCTAGACCTGATTCACTCATATATTTGTTTCCTTTTAATTTTCTTACCTTGTTGTAATTTTTTGAATATTGAGATGATGGGTTTCCTTTAAGGCCGCCATCCTGGTTATGTGTTATTCAATAACCATGCTTAGCTTTTGAGTTATAGTCATGAAATATATTTAGTCTTTCTAAACTGCATTGTCAGAGATGCCAATTTCAGTTGCAAAATTTCTTTCTTTTTCTATAGGACTGAAGATAACTATCTGTTTTAAGGAGAATACTTAAACCACTATCTTAATATTTTTCTAATTACATACAATGATCCAATGGATTGCACTGTGGCCTAACCCTGGGATTGTGTCAAATGATTGAAGCTCTATATATCATTTTCATTTACCTTCGTTTGTAACCATAGGCTGTCCTTCGGTAATCTTTCCAAGGACGTAAAACCATGATTGAGAGATATATCGTTTTCATTTACTGTCTTTTTTTTCTTTTTCTTTTTCCTTTTATGTTTGTTGGAGACAAAACTAATATGGCCATATGATGGTGTTATTGCCCCATAGGTTGTGGCTAGTGTTCGCAAAATTGAACTGGAACAGTTAACCGGGCATTGGCTCGGAAGCGGTTTAACCAGCCTAACTGGTAGACCGGCCGATTCAACCGCTCTAACTGGGGAAGTCCCAGGCGGTCCAAAAAGTATTGAAAAAATTAAAAAAAATACAAAAAAAAGATCTACTAAATTATGAAAAGCATATAAAGAATGATTAAAGCAAAACACATTCAAATGAAGTTGAAAATTAATGTAAAAAACGAATTTTTAAAGAATCGATTTGTGCCTAGGGGTATTCTTAAAATTTTCTAAAAAAGATGGGAAAATATAAAAGTGAGTATTAATGAACAAAACAATTTCTCTTTACCATAATGCAAAGAATATTAAAAAATGTATTACAAATCAAATTCCTTATTTTTCGGAATTTATATACATTTTTTTTATTTTTTATTTTTAAATACCGGTTGATCACCAAAACCTCCCAAAACCGGAACCGGCCGGTGGCCGGTTCTGATCTAACTGGGAGGTTAGCAGTTAGATTCCCTGGTTTTTCCATCAGTGGTTGTGGCACAGTGTATAGACATCCCGTTTCTTTGAGAGATCAATGACTTGATCCTTGAACTTTGTTATTAGAAATACATCAGGTTAATTTAGCCCTTTTTCCTTTTCTTTGATCATCGTGCTTAATCCTTTTTTCCACCTGATATTGGCATTCCATTAGTGTTGCATAGCATATGTAAGCTTGCATGTAGTTCAAGTGATGGCACCCCCTTCTGCTGATTGGGATGGAGATTTATTAGGTCCTAAATGCATGCAGTTTAAGGCATATGTTTTTGCAATTTATGAGAATATTATGTTAATTTGATTTGTATTTAGATTTTAGCTATAGCATCACATGGGCATATTTATGCATATGCTTGTTTTATCAATGTGACTAGTTGGTCATAGTGCCAATGCATTGGCAGGGAACACCAAACAGAGCTGGGCCGAGCTTGACATGTTCAAGCTTGTTTTGGATGGAGGGCCAGCTTGAGCTTGGCTTGGCCTGACTCTTTTACTTAAATAGACCCATAAATGAGTAGAGCCATAAATGTGATACAAGTATTTTTTATATTTAGTTATAATGTGTTATATTGAATTATATTATTAAATATAATATCTAAGACACGCATACATAAACATGTGTGTGTGTGCGTTTGTGTGTTTGTGTGTGTATAGATAGATAGAGAGAGAGAGTTTTAATGTAGTAAACATGCTCAAGCCAAGCTTATCTCAGTTTGGGCTTCTGGCTTGTTTAATAAATGAGCGTTTTGGGCTCGACATGGCTGGGCTTGTCATGCTGTAAAACATTCTTCAAACATGGCTCATCATGAGTACAACTGTACTGGATTGGCTTGTTGACACCATATACAACGGCCATGGGGAATGTAATATATACTAACTCTAAGAGAATTGAATGTATACGATATGGTGCTGATGTGAAGAGATGCGATGGGAGATCTATCAAGATGGTACTTTTTGGGCTATTGGGATGTCTCAGATTTCATGACTGGGAGAGTGATATTCTCTGTAGAGGAATACCATGAATATTGCATGGAGAGTGCAATTCTTGATTTAGGGAGACGCTAGGACAATTAGGTTTGTTTGATTTACCTCTTCCTTTTTAGGTGTCATTGTAGATTTAGGGCACCAGGGTTCTATTGGATGCTGTTGCAGAGAAGTTGCTAGGAAAAAGGTTTCGTTGGCCCTATTTTATTATTTGTCAAGATCATTTTCTTTTTATAACCAACATGGCCATAGATCGTTGGATCTCTATTCCATTGTTGCAATGCATTTTGGCACTTGGCACGTTGGATCTTAGCCAATAATAATTGAATCGGTACATATTTCCCTTAATTGGGAAGAAGCACTTGTTCTCCTGTGAATGGCTCAGCTGAAGGGGATGTAGTCTGGAATTGGATCATGAGGAGAAAGAAAAAGGAGTTGCATGGTTATTTGATCCAAGGAATGTAGAGAGTGGGTCAAGTTGAATGCACACAGGACATAAAAGTGTGCAGAACAAGCAGACAGATTGGATTACTGAGGACTCCAAGATAGTGTACCATATGCTTTATTTTTGACTTTTTCAGAGCTCATGAATGTGCTTAAGCTGCCCCAAGATTTAAGTTCTGAAGTTCACAAAATGAAAGATCAAAACATATAAAAGTCACGTGTATGAGGGTTTTATGAGAATATTGATCTCAACTTTATCCACATGATTTATGTCTTATGTCTCATGCTCTCACATATGTGACTGTTTTCATCATCTGGGTTGTCTTGTGGACTCCTATGTACATTGCCTTGAATCCTCTAGTGCATGGATACTGGGAAATCGATGCAATATCCTTTGATATATCTGGGAGTTGTAGACAGCAAATTCCTTGAATGCCTAGGAATTTTAAGTGTCACTTTATTTTCATAGCGAAAATTTGTAGCTTGCCAAAAAAAGAAAAGAAGAAAAAAGTTGCTTGAATGACTTGGAATTCTATGACTTCTAGGTGGCATCAAGGTCAGCATTGACTTGACTACTTTGTCCTTGGTAGTGACTTTCCCATTGCCAGGAATCATCCTTACTATCTACTCACTAATCTAGATTATAAGATGATAGTGATGTGATGCCATCTTGAAAGTGTGGTACTCTTTGAAGAGACAAACACATACTTGTTGCCTTTACTTTTAATGGAAAATAGGGCAGTCTGATTGTTTGTTTATTTTGTTTGGATGATCTATTGTTTACATGACCAGCTATTTTCCCTCCTGTTTAGGTATTTCAATGTTTTGCCTTCACGTTTTTGGATAAGTTTCTATTTTCCCTTGATATATGCTATTCTTAGAACTTAACATAAATAACTTCACTACAATGTTGTGCGTAACTCTTTCTTGGGGCAGCCAAATTGTGACTTAAATTCGTATCATTTGGCAGGAGAAAATTATAAGAGTTCCCTATGGGAAGGACAAAGAATTCTTTAAGTTTTCGTTGTTTCTTGTTTTCTGCAACCGCATTACTACATCTGTTGTTGCTGCTGCTTTTCTGCTGGTAAAATTTCTGGGCTTCAATTCTCTTTTAATAAGTTGAAACTTTTAATTGTTTGTGGTACAATCAAAATGTTTTTCTTTCTATAGGCAAGTAAAAAACCCTTGGATCCTGCAGCTCCAATATACAAATATTGTGCCATTTCAATATCAAACATTCTAACAACGACATGTCAATATGAGGTTCGTACTTTGCATTTCTTTCACTAATGTGTTTGGATCTGGTAAAGAGTTTACCACATTCTATCTTGGTGTTGATTAATAATGTTTACCACTTATTAAAAAATATAGAAGCCTTGGTAGCTTGGAATGAGTTTCGATTGTTGAAACAACCACAATGACTCAGATGAAATATACAGGCACTCAAGTATGTCAGTTTCCCAGTTCAGACACTAGCGAAGTGTGCAAAGATGATACCTGTGATGGTATGCCTATGTTCTCTTGACTTTTTTCTTCTTTATAGTTTGACATTAATAACATCAGTATTTACTTTTTACACAATTCGTCCACTTCTTTGCCTAAAGTTCTGAAGTCCATGTGTCGTTTAGAAATACATTGATGGCTATTTTGTTATCCTTGATCCTTTTCGCAAAATATGTTCATGTTTATGCATTCCAGTTTTTCCTACAATCTATATTAAACATAGGATCCTGGACCTTGTCAATAACTTTTATCAATATATTAATGCAGGTTAAAGTTCAAAGGTGAATGAGTCAGTAAACCTTTAGTGATAGTCACAATTGGATGTATTAAGTGCACATTAAAGGAGAATTTTTAGTGGTAACAATAAGTTTAAACAAATAGTCAAAAGTTGTCACGATGCTGGATATAAACTTCAAGGCAGGACTCGTGAAAGAGAAAAGATCATTTTTTTGTTTGTGTTCCAGGGAAAAAAATCCTTCACCTGAATTATACAAGCAAATGCTGCTTGCCAACATAGAATCCGGAGTTTGGTTGCTACACTCGATGAGCTTATTTATGAGATGTCTTCAACTTCATTCAGTTCTACCTTGTGCTTTAACTTTGAATGCAAATTGCATCCGAGATGTTTGTTTATTTATTTATTTTAAAAGAACTGATTTTCAGGGATGTGGGTTTACTCTTTATCTTTATTTGGGGTTAATTTTTAGGAATTATGGCATTGGGATTAGGGATTAGAATGTATTTGTATTTATTATTGTGGGTAAGGGTAGTGATTAGTGATGTTTCTTTACTTTAAGGATTAATGTCGGGTTCTTGGCTTGTTGGGAATAACTCGAGGGCCACATTGAGCTCATAAAAGTAGGATTGGATTAGGGAGATGAGTCCTTTATTGGAGGGAATTGATGGTGTATCCTATTTTAAAGGGATTTCTAGCATGGGGTGTGGGATGTATGGTTATTCCTAAATGATAGGGAAGTTAGAGAAAGGTAAAGAGTAACTCCTACATTAGTGAGAGTTATGGGTCTTAGGAAGAGATTATGGGAAGATCACATGACTTCGAGAGAGAGAGAGAGAGAGAGAGAGAGGAGAGAGGGAGAGAGACATGAGGGGTGGAGAGAGTTTATTTTCATGAAAGAAGAAATAGATTCTTCTCATCCTTGGCTTGATTTACAACGAACTGTTTCCTCCGTTATTACCGAGTTTTTGCTTGCTTAAGATTGAAAGAAGACCGGTTTAATTTCCCGGGCTCCTTTCACATTGAACTTTTATTACTGTTTTTAAGTTATGTTGAATTTAATTTGTTAGAAAATGTTGCTGTGATTTGTGCTTATTATGTCTAAGCTGAAATTGCAACAAAAGTTTTTGTTGGTTGACTTAAAAGCAAGATTTAATATCCATATTTTTGTTTTAATCTGTGTTAATTGATGAACTCATCAAATTGGGTTAATTAATAAAAATAAAATATAAAATTCGCTAAAGTATTGTAAGATTGTGCTTGGGAAAGTTTCCTTTTTCTTTTGATAGTTTACACGCACAATAGCTTCAATAGGTGTACATGTAGTCGCATGGGGGTGCCAATATTCAAAAAGGTGGATCGCCTAGTGCCTAGGCGGTCCAGAGGGCCTGTGTGCCTCGCCCAGGCTTAGGCGACCAAAATAGGTGGCTTGCTTCTCGGCGGCCGCCTAGGCCTGCCCCCTGCCCAAGGGTAGAAATACCCCTTGTTAAGGGGCATTTTTTGGGTTCTTTTAAAAAATAAGAGGGAAAAAGGTGGGTTTTAGGTTTATTTCAAACCTAAAACCCATTAGAGCCTATTTTAGAGGGAAAAAAACCTAAAAAAATAAAACTAGATTTTTGTGATTTTCATCACCCATTGAGAAAAGCCTTAAGGTTATGAGAAGTCGATCTAAACATCACCCATTGTGATTAGATTTAATTTTGGAGGTTTTGTAGGTCCATTAGAGAGTTTTTTAGAAGATTTTGAGATTAGAAAACATCTCACAGGTGGAAGTTTGGAGATCGAGCAATCAAAGTTAGTGAAAAAATTTACTTTTTAGATTTGCTTGTATTATCTTGAGATGTCTTCTTCGGGATATAATAACAGTGGTGATCGGGGTTGGAAATATGGCTATAACTCGAATCATTTGGATAAATATTGCATAAGATAAAATTATTGTGAAAAGGGCATTATTGGTTGAAGAAACATCTTGCCTGTATCAGAGGGGGATGTTGCTCCATGTAAAAAAGTTCCTGATACTATTAGAGGAGATGAAATTTTTTATGAGTATTATAAAAAAGAAAAAAGAGGAGAGAGAGGCATCCATAACAGAGCTGAGGTCTGGGGTTCGTATCAATTTTGATGATGATGATAGTGATCAAGTGGGGTGTCAAGAGGTAGAACAACTTGTTGTATCCCTGACTAGGGGGAAGGGAAAGAGAGTTGCACTTGGTTTTGGGAGTGTGTGTGGGGGGAGTGGGGGGCCTAGGAGGCCTCGGGTTAGAGGGCTTATGGATTGTTTTTTGCCCCAGCCTAACCCCGAGGTTGCAGGAGAGAAAACAAAGAAGCAAACAACTATTGAGAATAGAATCAAGAAGGAAGAGCAAGATAGACCTGCATAGTACATTGCTAGAAGGTTTTATGAGGTGGGCATTCCTTTCAATGCCGCTTGTCTAAGTAGCTTCTACACCTTGGTAGAGGCAATTGACCAATTTGGGCTTGAGATGAAGCCGCCAACCCTTTATGAGCTTTTAGAGCCTCTTTTGAAAACGAGGTGCTTGTCATGAGGGAAATTGTTGAGGTTTAAAAGGATGAATGGGCTCAGTATGGGGTTTATGTTACGACTGATACTTAGAGTGATAAGAAGAGAAGAAGCCAGATGAATTTGCTAGTGAATTGATTTTTATGAACTATTTTTTTAAGGTCTATTGGTGCCTCCGATTATAGCCATGATGTCCATTACATATTTCAAGTGATGGAGAAGGGAGTCAAGAAGGTTGGGGAGCAACATGTTATACAAGGAATCAAGGAAGTTGTCAAGGGACAGATTCAGAAGAGACAGAGGAGGACGACCATTATGTCGAGGAGGGAGATGATTCAGATAATGATGGCCTTGATTCCGATGCATATGAAGCAAATGCAGATGCAACTGACCCTACTTTCTGACGATAAGTGATGATTGCAGACTCTTTTGAGTCTTCAAGTCTATATTTCTTTAATTTTTGGTTTCCTCTTGGTTGTATACTATGGTTTGTAAACTTTTAAGTTTTACCTATGTATGGACTAGAGATAATTAGATATGGACTTATGGAGTATGGAGGAGTGTATGTGCTCTGTGGACTATAGACATTTGATGTGCACAATAACTCTTATGTGTTATTTCTTATTTTCTTTAATTTTCTTGATGATGAAGTGATAGCTTGCTAAGTTGCTATCTTGAATTATAGACTAAAATATGTCTCGATATTTATTTTCTAATATGTCTCAACTTGAAATGCATGGAATTATAGGCTAAAATATGTCTCAATATGTATTTTTAATTTTTTACACAAAATATGACCCGAAAACAACTTTTTATTCTATAAGGCCACCTAGGTTTTGGGCACCCTCCTAAGCGCTTGCTTAGGCGCTGGGCGGCTGGACCCCCCACCGCCTAGGCGCCACCCTAAGTTTTTTGGAACACTGGGGGGTGCAACCAAGGGATATACAAAGTTCACGGATGTGAAGTTGTCTGCAATGAATAGGACCTCTGATCTAACTTCACCATGTGCTCAGGAATGTGCCTTTCCACATGGGAAAAAACAATAGATCCTATCTTAGGTAAATTGACGTCTGTCCATAACCCTGATTATTTCTCATCTCTTGCTACCCATCTAAAAGCAGCAACTTAGTTACCCTCCCCCACCAAGGGGCTCAAGAAATGCTACCTTATGATGTCTCAATGTTTTCCTCTTTTTGCATTTTTTTACTAGTTTTTCCTTCTCTACAATTCATTTATTTTTATTGGTCATCTCTACATCTTATTCATGCATGAAAATTTTTCAGATATGAATAGTTTTGATTATTTACTGCAAAATTCATGTTAGTTGCTGTTGCTTTGATTTGTATATGATATTTTATTGAATGTGTATGATATTTTCCCTTTTTCCTACTCCCTCCTCTTCAGCTTTTTCTCTCTTCTCCATTTTGATATATACGAGTCTCTTTGTATGCACAAGTTGAGTGCAACTTGATGTACACATTATTTTTAGATATACAATATTAACAATGAACAAAGAAATGCGTGGAGACAACTTGTTGAAATCTGAGATTCGACTTATTTAATCAGCACAGTTGTGGATCGGCATAAGGATAATTCTGAGACATGTCTCTCATTGATTTGTGAAGGGGAGTTGATTCCTCATCTTGGTTTACTTGCACATTCCAACTGCTTAATTGGATCTTTGTAGCCTGATGCAGCAATTATATGATTTATTTTCATCATCACAGATTGATAGAATCATCTTAGGAACTGTGTTTTCATAGTGTTATATTTTCCTATCATTTATTTGTATCTATAAATCCTACAAGTGTTTTTTCTTGAATATTTTAAATAGAAGGTGCTGAATGAGATTTTAAGTTTTCAGTACCTTGTTTTTGGTTGATTTGATCCTGCAATCCTAATTTTGCATCATAAGGCCAGTCATCACTTCTCCATTAGCTGTTATATGGCATTTGCAACCAATATACCTAGTTTGTGACTGGCCCTTTTTCTGAAGTGGATACATTGTTCCATTACATATTCTTTCTCAAATTAAAGCCATTGAGAGAACCTAAAGATTGTTGACTATATCTCTGGGAAGTAATTTGGTGGAAATGCCTGATATTCTTATATTGCTATGCTCTTTCTTAACATCATTTTTTGTGTCTTACTATTGATATGGATGACTTTTTCAGAGATGAAAGACCTGGGATTATATAGCGCCTCCTAAAACCTTTTGCTTTATCCAGAATTAATTTACTTTTTTTCACACTGTTTCTGCAGATATGGAGCACATGTATCATGCGGAAGAGCTATGGAAGGCAGGACTATCTATTGGCTGTGCTAGTGACAGTGGGGTGCTCTTTATTCATTCTATCTCCAGTGAGTCAATAACTGTTATTATCAGATTTGGCAAAGTCATTTTGGTTCTCTTCTTTGCTGAGGATTTGTAAATTTTTATATGGTTACTTTTATTTTCTGGGACACATGTTAGCATAAGGAGATTCATTAAACCATTTTGTTGCATCTTTTTGTAGGCACATGCAGTGATAATTATATTTTTGTTCCCCCAAGATTGTTGTTCGCAGGAGCTCTAGTTATTCTAATTCAATCTGGCAAAACCTTTTGAACCATTGCTGAATGGGCACTTAGTTCGTTACAATATGGATTTTAGGATTTTTCCACACCTATTAGTTCATTGAAACTTGTTAACTTTATTAATAACTTTTCATACTCAGTGGTTTCCAAGGATGGCAAATTTATGATAAAAGGTTATGATCAGGTTCACATTGCATCGGTAGCATGCCAAAGCTGTAGTCTGTGGTATCTTTAACCTGCTGTATGCTGCAGGATACATAGCCTGTTGGACCCGTAATCCTTTTCAAAGGTGAATTGGACCAATATACAAGCTGACCCTATTGGTTAGCATTCTGATAATAGGTTTTTATGTATTTATTTATTTTTATTTTTAGTGCTCAAAATTTTAAGGTCACTGTAACCTAAAACATTTTCAGAGGATCAGTTGTTCTGTCATAAAATTTTGTCCATATATTATCATAAATTTTATGGAATAATTTACTTTCCTACTTTACAATAGGAAACAAGTTTTGTTTATGTATCATAATAAATTTTAACATATATCATCATAGTATTTAAGAAGTATTTTGTTTTTTCTAAATTGCAATTGGGAAGAAGTTTTTATTTTTACGCGAAAACTTTTGGTATCTAATTCGTTCTAGGGAGTCTAGGCTTAAATGAATTAATGAGGTTTAATTTCTATGTAGGCAGCAGGTGACATCAGCCCATACAGTAACAGGAGAGAAAGTACTGTGTGGGGCGTTTCTCTAATGGTTGGTTATCTTGGGTAAGTAAAGAGCATGTATAGCCCTTGCAGATTTGCAACTAAATCTTTGTTAATGGTGTTTTCTCTTTGAGATTAGGTTCTTGTGGTTATATTTGTGAGAGTTGTTTATTCTCTTAGGGTTTATCTTATTTAATTGTGATTATATTTGTGAGAGTTGTTTATTTTCTTAGGATTTATCTTATTTTATTAACAAATAACTCTATAATGGAGGATTACTTTTCCAAATTTTTGTACTGAATCATTTTTCTGGGAAAGAACAAATCGAGGTGATTTGAATACTCTGTCTGCTCGGAACATTATTAATTATACTTTTGGAAAACGTCGAGGAACTTATAATTATTTGATTTACTTATTTGCTAGACAAGTAGTAAATTGAAAATTAAATTCAACTAAACCACATAGTTTTTTGCTGCACTTTATGAAGACACAATGTACAGAGATATCCCCCTAAAGATGAAAGCTTGCAAGTATATTTCATAAAGTGTTGCTTTTGCTCACCCACACACACAATTATAAACATATCGGAAAAGAGAGAAGACCAAAATGCCCCTCAAGTAAATGGACAAAAATACAGGGTTCTACTTTAAAACACTTAATTTGCATATTCTTTTAGACTTCCCATTAAAGTGGCACCTGCTAACCATTTGGTGTTTTTCAATGTATATTTGTGTGATATCTCCAGTGGGTGAAGCTTTTTGCTTTGTTGAATACTGTGTTGTGGGGTTTATACGCATGGATGTTAGGTCATCATTTCATATTGAAGAAGTGGTCTTTCTACTCATTTGGAAGACTGCATTTCATCTTTTGTATATGATTAACTTACATGCTTATTCTGTTTGGCTATAGCAAAGTAACCGTATTATCATATAATATTGATGGGATGCAGCCTAAACTGCATTATAAACTCTGTTTGAGGATCATGTTTTTGCTGTGTAACTTTCATATGTGAATGGAATACTCTCAGAAATTCTTCTCTATTTTATTCCTATAGCGTTTTGTTAATGAGAAGCTTTCTTCTAAATCTCAACCTCGAATCTATTTTATTATGCCAACTGTATAGGATTTACGGGATGCACCAAGTCCCATTGTTTTTCTGCAGTTTCATTACGTCAACTATGTTTCTCCTTTAGCTCATCGTTGCATTATTGGATTATTAATTCTGGCATAGTGTGCAAACCTAATCATGTCTTGAAGGGCCTGATGGAAACTCAAATGGAGTCTCATGTGAGAGTGTACGTGATACAAACTCATCCCAAGACCCTTAAGACTTGAAGCCTGTGCTCCATTTCTTTTCTATATGGAAATCAGAAACTGAAAATGGTCTGCAGTTTTTGAGGTCATGGCAGGCATGCATGGGGGACATATGATCCCTTAAATCATTTCAGCAACATCTCAATGTTATATTTTTTTACTTGGTGGGTTTTATTTTTGTTTCTCCGTTAGTTGGATCTTGAATCTCTTGTGACAAATCCAACTTACTATACAAGACCGATTTGAGTCTTTGATCGTCAATATCATCAAAGCCTTTCCCAATTATTTGTGGTCGGCTACACCAATCCTCGTTCGCCATTCTGCTCTATCGAGGGCCATACCCTCAGTAGGGCCATAAGTCCTCAATTGATTTGAGTCTTTCACATATTTTAATAGATTAACTATTTTGATCCTTCGGATGCTATAGTCATATTTTCTTGGTTTCAATGTTTTTTTGTTGAAAGTTTTTGGATGGATATATGTTCTTTAATTGCCTTGGTTTGAATGAGGGTTCTATTTTGAAATGAATACATTCGAGAGAATTTAATTGTGGCTTCAATAGGTGATAAAATGAGGGAAAGTAGACTTGGATGGGCAGGCCATGTGCAGTGTAAATCCAATATAGCACTGGTTAAGAGGTGCGATTTGGTTCAAGTGGAAGGGCTCTAAAAGGGCAAAGGTAAGGCCCAAAGGACATGGATGAACTATATGATCTGACTGAGGGTATGGCCCTTGATAGAGTAGAATGGCGTAATAGGATTTGTATAGCCCAAGTAGTTAGGATAAAGCTTTGATGACGATGATTAAACATCTATTTTCCTTTTTTTGTTTTTTGAGAAAGGGTGAACTTCCTTAAGCATCTATTTGATGATTATATAATCCTTTGGTATTTGTTAAATACCAAGGAATAACATTATATGCTTCCATTGAGCACATTTTACATTTGCTCCCCTCTGTGCAAACCTAGCTAAGTGTATTTTTGGACTTACAGTGGATAGACATTCTAAGACTCTATAGAGAAATTCACACCCTAGTTTCAACATAGATTGTCCATGTTTTGGATGGTCAGATCAGTGTTCAAGAAATCAAAATCTTTTTTTGTTTTTACTTATGCGGTGTTTCTCTGGCGATTCCCAAAATTTCATATCAAACAAATCCTACTAAGTGGGTGTTTAGCCTGAGGTATTAAGTGTACATGGTATGCTTGCACGGGAGCACGCTATACACTAAGGGTATGCCCCTCGATAGAGTAGAATGACCTAACAGGATTCGTGTAGCCCAAGTAGTTAGGGTAAAGCTCTGATGATGATGATGATGATGATGATGATGACGATGATCTCGGTCCTTAAACATCTTTTTTTTTAAGAAAGGTGAACTTCCTTTAGCATCTATTTGCTGATTATATAATCCTTTGGATATGCTAAATACCAAGGAATAAACACATTTTACATTTGCTTCCCTGGGTGAAACCCTAGCTAAGAGTATTTTTGGACTCAGAGTGAATACACATTCTAAGACTCTATAGAGAAATTCGCATCCTGGGATTCAAAATAGACTGTCCATTTTTTGGATGGTCAGATCAAGGTTCAAGAAATCAAAATCTTTTTTTTTTTACTTATGTGGTGTTTCTTGTGCGATTCCCAAAGTTTCATATCAAACAAATCCTACTAAGTGGATTACAGAAAAGAATTCATCCTCTATCGGTGGTTTACAGAAAAGATTGATCAGTTTTTTATTCTGGGCTTTGCTGCTCCTCAACCATGATTTAATGGGATTGTATACTATGAGACCATTTACTTTTTGTACAAGAAGGTCACAATCCTTTTTAGCCATTGGATGTGATATTTAATGGATTGAAGTATGGCACAACATTGGAAAAACTTTATTTTGGACATTGTGCCTAGTCATTGACACATTTCCAACTAATAGTCAATAGTAGTTGTGATCTCTTTGTACCAAAAGTAAATGGTCTTATTGTATACATTTCTTGATTTAATTGCTAATTCAGCTTTTGATTTGTTTTGAAGTTAGGAATCATCGGCTTCTTACCCTGCTTTTCTTATGCTCCACAGGTTTGATGGCTTCACAAGCACATTTCAGGACAAGTTATTTAAAGGATACAATATGGAGATCTATAATCAAATATTCTACACAGCCATGTGCTCCTGTGTTCTTAGCTTGAGTGGTAAGTCCAGCCACTCCTTTATCATTCCAACTGTTTATATCATTTGAATGATTTACTTATAAGCTCAAATAATTTGTTTTCTTACTTCTTTGACATTGTATTTGCTATACCTGTCTTAATCTCTTACCCCATCCAGAATTGAGTTTCCTCTAGTTTAGTAGGAAAATGGGATGTCATCTACTCACTGTCTCAACATCTAGTAATTAAAGAGTTGCTTGTGCTCTTTTCCTAGTTTTTAACTTGTGGGTTCCTTTGTGCTTTGTTTGCAGGTCTTATATTTCAAGGACATCTTCTTCAAGCTATAGATTTCGTATTCCACCACCAAGATTGCTTCTTTGATGTTGTGCTGCTCTCTACTGTGAGTCCTGTTATTGTTGCTGTATGAGGACTGATATATTTGGAGTCTTTTTGGGCTTTCATACCATTGTGTAACGTTTTTGGGTATTTTTAGCCAAAATTCAAAGGTTTGCAAGTTGCAGGCCTTATGGCTACAAGTTTGATTGAAATTGTAACTATATATGTCTGCTGATATTAGTGAACTTCAAAATTTTAATAAACTTTTAAATATTGATGCCAGTTTTCACATTTTAGATGATAACAATTTGTCAGAATCTCAGGAAATTTGTCTCAGTTAATTTATGTAAAGAAACACCAGTTAATTTAAGATAGTTTTTATCAACTCTCACAACCCTAGTTGTGAATAATAGATGATGATATTATAGAAGCTCCATAACAATTGCATGCTCCAAATGAAAAGTCAGACAAACAGAATGGAATAGTACTTGTGGATTTGAAATTAATCACATATCTGTTATCTCATTAAAAAGTTGTCCCTCTGGAATCAGTTCCGGTCCAATTTATAACGTTCTAGATAGGAACCTATCCTCAGTGGATGTGAATGCCGAGAATTAGAGATTTGTTAGACTATGCTTACCAGTGAGCGCTATAAGTAACACATCAAGTAATACCAACTTTGATGTTTTACTTTTCATTATGCATGTGCATCATCCCATGCCATGGTGGATCGCAACATAAGACTCATCATGACATTATATATCATTGTCATTTAAATTATAAAAGAAAAAAGTGCCATTATCTACTGCTAATGGTTTACCTATCAATTCCAAGGTCATTTGCAGTTGTCGATAACTCTATTTGTGTTCTTGTTCATGAGGTATCTCATTATGACAAGGATCGCTGCTCCATGATGTGTGTTTCTTTTCAAGTTCCATGTGTGTTGTATTACATCTGAATGGGAGGAATTCATTCACATTTTCTTACTTTATTTTTAATTGACTTTTAGTTTGAGTAGGATGACGTTGGTTCAATTTTGCAGGTGGCAACAATCAGTCAGTTCTTCATTTCGTACACAATTCGGACATTTGGGGCGCTAACTTTTGCCACCATAATGACAACAAGACAGGTTTGATAAATGAATCACCCATCCCATTCTTTGTTTTTTCTTTGGTATCATTAAAACTCAGGTTCTTAATGATTATTGCATAAAACCAAAACAATCCCATTTTTGCTTCAAAATGCAGTTGGTGAGCATCCTCCTGTCATGCATATGGTTTGGGCATCCATTAAGTGGGAACCAATGGATTGGAGCTGTAAACCTCTCTCTCTCTCTCTCTCTCTCTCTCTCTCTCTCTCTCTCTCT